AGGAGTATTTAGAAGTTGAAGACCGTATAAAAACTAGGAGTATTTAGAAGTTGAAGACTGTACAAAAACTGAAAGTTTGAGAAAAAATTTGTTCTGTGTTTTTTTTTAACAAGTAGAAATTTTCTGGTGAAGCCAAATATCAAATAATCCCGATGTTCACTTATATTAATCCTGTACTCTACTCATATGGTTAATAGTTATTTTACTACTGGTTTACCCTCATGGCAACAGCTGGATAACAAATCTTTCATATCAAGAGATTTGCAATTTTGAAATATCTATGATTTTTAATAGTATTAAAGAAAGTCTTGCCTGAAATTTAGAGAATGGTATATTGTAAGAAATACATTATTGTCATGAGATGTTAGTATTAGGCCTATTATATTTTTAACACTACATTCTTTATTTAATTCTTTAAGGTTTTTCAAGAAGAAGAGTGTATAATAGTAATTTAACCACACTGTCCACTATTCCAATGTCTGTTATACATTTTGTTCAATACAGAGCCTACAAGGTACACAACAAACAAGGTAATGGTCAGAACACTATTTACATAAACCAGTTGTAATAAAATAATTATGATGTGAATGTCTCTTACAAGCATGATTATATAATAATTATACTTGTCCTAAGACACAGGTATCGGGCATTTTAACATTCTCTATTTAGTCCCTTACGGCTTTCAAGAAGAAGTGTATAATAATATATCAACCATACTGACGACTCATGAGAGAAGTCACCAGGCCATTTAGGAGCAACAAACACAGTAGTGTTCAGAAAATTACTAAGGTAGTCATTACTTCAAATGAAATTTAGCAACTGGTATATCGTAAGAAATATACGTTATTTAGTCCTGAGAAGAATGAAACATATGACGTGTTTATATTACTTATGATTAAACACTGAAACTTACAGCAGAAGCACCAATAAAGAAAGAGGCCTAATACATACTTTTTACTTAAATGAATGAATGTGCGTTGATCTCATTAATACATAAAATAGCAGCATTCCATCAATTATTTTGTTTATAGGT